GCTGGCTGATGGGCTTTCTCTTGGACAAGACTCTGGACTGCTCAGCGCCCAGATCAGCCCCTGTAGATACCAGACCTGAGCGCTGAGGTCACCGCTATGCAACTTTGTGAGCGGAGATTCCTGCCTCTTAGGGGTCTTTCTCCATAGGGGGGTGATCCCCTAGGGCGCACCGCACCAGGAGGTGTCTGGGGCCGTCCATGCTTGTCACACCAGGGGTGTCCTGGCACCGAGTGGGTGGGGGCGGGGTGCCGCACCCTGGACACCCCTGCAGAGGACGCCCCGACTGGCCAAATGTCCTTGCGGCAGAGGGATAGGTCCTGCTCTAATTCACAGGAAGTGATGAGGAGTTGCGTGTGGAAGCCAGTTAGCCCTGAGATCCTGGCGCATGTGTGAAAGGGAGGCGCTTGCCCGCTGGCAGACAGCGTAGCGCTCTCAGCAAGGATCAGAGGTGCGGCCACCACAGCGTGGATGTGTGCTCCCAGATCGCACACCCTGTTTTGTGTCGTAAATAACCACAGCCTCAGCTCAGAACACTGGGCACCAACCTTGTGTGGACCTGGCAGGGTTTGGGCCGCCCCCAGCCACCCTCTGGGCCCCAACCGGGCAGGTTCCTGGATGGGCAGGATTAGGGGGGTGCCCTGGGCTGGGGGCACCATTCAGAGCTCTGCCAGGAGAGCTACCTGGGACTGGGCTCCAGCCGTCGGGCAAGCGCGACGGAGCATTTTCCTCCACCAGGAAGTCCCCGGCCCCGCCCTCAGCCCTCCGAGGTCTGCCGTGCATGGGGGCTCACAGCACAGGCGGCAGCTGGATGGAGTCACCCAGATTCTCCTCCCTCATCTGGAGACAGGAGGAAATTACGAGGCGGCACCCGGGCCTCGTGGATTGAATCAACCTTAATAGCAGCGTGTCAGGCCTTCTGTTGTCTGCTGTTTGCGTCTCTGGTGGAGAAGTTATTAGCGTGGGGCGGGGAGGGGCAGCACCGGCTCCCAGCCCGTCTGTGCCTTTCCAGCCCCCAAAACAGGCAGTGGATGGGACGGTACCTCCACTGATGGGGTCAGGCCTGCCGCAGACACTAGCTCTGGCCCCTCGGCTCTGCCAGGAAGAGGGAGGCACACATCCCGCCTAGCCCAGCCTGTGGCCGCCCTGGACTGTGCACCAGCTTGCGGACGAAGCCAGCCACCAACCCCTCTGAACTTCCTGGAGCCTCTTGCAGGCGGAGAGGGGGCGTCGTTCCATGAGGCCCCTAGAACTATTCTCTGGGCGGTCAGGGTGCTGAAGCCACATTGGGCAGAAGCAGGGAGAAGCCCTTCCGTGCCCCTGTCATCCCAAAGGGCTCTAGCTCCTGGGCCGGGGGCCGCTGGACTGGCTGGCTGCAGTGTTCCGGCTGCGCGCTGTGACCGTGGGCTGCCCAGCCCCGCTGGACAGGCGGGCAGTTCGGAGCCCCCACGTCCTCAGTGCACTGGAGGCACGAGCAAAGTTGACAGCCACCACAGCTGGCGGGCCTTTCCCTTGAGGGACCGGCTGGGCCTCCCTGTGACCACTCGGGCTGATGAGCTAGAACAGGGTCTCCATCTCGGCACCATGGACGTTTGGGGCCATCTGGCCTGGTGTAGCACGGGAGCGGCATTCTGGTGGGGGTGGGGCGCTGCTGGATTTGCATCTCCGCCAAGCCCCCTGGTGGTGCTGGTGTGGGACACGTTTGAGATCCATTGCATCCGTTGCCCTCCTCCCCGGGCTCTCTCCTCCAGCCCTGCGGACACAGGACTGTCCCGGGCACTGTGCATGGCGGGGGGGGGGGGGGGGGGGGGGGGGGGTGTGCACAGCATTCCCGGCCCCTGACCACGTGATGCCAGGATCATCCCAGGCATGGAGACTACAGATGTCCCCAGGCACAGCCCCTTGTCCCCTGGGAGCACCCAAGGGTGAGGCCCACCACCCTAGGACACGTAGCAGCTCACCAAGTGAGAGGACAGATGACACCCACGTGCAGTGCAGTAGCAGGCAGCAATGAATGCCCTGAAGACAGAAAAAGCAAAGTGAAGGGAGAGAGACAAGGAACATGGAAATGATTTTAGCAGCACGGTCAGGGAGGAAGTCCCCAGGCGCCGCACTGGAGTCCCAAGAAGATGGGGAAAGAGCTTTTCCAGCAGGGGGGCGGGGGGTGCAGCCTGTGCAAAGGTCATGAGGCCTTTCTGGGGGTCATGGTCCTTTTTTCTGACTGACCACAGCCGCCCTGGCATCATAGGGCTTTATCCTGCCAGTGGCGAAGACCTCAGTGACCACCCTCCTTGGGAGGCAGTCGCGACAGCAGCACCTGTGCTTGGAGAGGAGCCCCGGCTGCCTCCACGGGCCCGCCAGGTGGCCCGCCAGGTGGCTTCGGCGAGGAACCAGCGTCTTTCACCCAGGGCTGGGGTCCAGTGCCTGCTGAGGCTGACTGGCAGGAATTCGGGCCCAGGAATGCCAGCCCATTCATTTTTAAAGGCAAACTGGGTTTTGACAAATGATTTTCTTATTTTCAAATGTTGACACCAAACTTAAAAACAAACAAAAAAGCCTTTGTGGGGCAAACTGCTTCTGTTAGAGGCCGTGAAACTCAGCCTCTGCTTCGCCCACATAATTGCATTAATCCTGGGAGCACGGAGCAGGGAAGGCATCTCAGCCACCTTCTTCCCCCTACGGCACCGCCAGGACTTGGGGGGGGGGGTGAGCATTGGGACAGGGACAAGCCTTGTGGATGGCCAGGCCAGGGGCTGGGACTTTGCAGGTGGACACTTGTCCATTGCAGTGGAGAGGGTTTCTGCAAGACGGATGGCCAGCCAGGGACCTCAGGGAGGCCGGGTGGTGGCTTCAGAGCCTGATGGACCCGAGTTCCAGCCTTTTGCCAGCACATACCCACGCTCACAAAAGCCAGGCCCCTCCTGGCCAGCTTTAGGCAAGGGCCACTGCTATCCTAGTTTGGGGTGCTCCAGTGGGGGTTAGGGAGGGCACAGAGGGGACTCCGGCCCGTCCTCCCCCAGCTCACAAGGCCAAGAGCCTGGCCTGGGAGCTATAAATAGCCGCAGAGTGGAGCTGCTGGCTGCGCCCACGCTCCGACACATGAGTCAGCCTGCCCTGGCCTGGGCAGGCACCCGGAGGAGCCAGAGGCTGGAGGCCCAGCCCAAGTGCAGGCGGGTCACTCAGGAGACCAAGGCAGGCAGGCCACTGGAGTGGGAGGGAGTGGGGCCGTCGCCGCAGGGTGCCCATGTGCCTGGCAGCCCCACGTAGGCAGACATCATCCTGATCACTCCCTGCAACCCTGAGAGACGGGACAACAGTGATCCTCATTCGCAGATGGGGAAACTGAGGCTCGGAGGAGCGCTTGGCTGGGACATGGCGACCCAGACCAGAAGTTCTTATTTGTCTATCAGGCTGTCTCCATCTCTGGTTGAGGGTACCCCAAGATGAGGGGCTGGGGCCAGATCATGCTCTGAGGTACCCCAACAGAGCAGGAGGGATGTGTGCCCAGGGAACAGCACCAAACAGCCCCCAGGGACCAGGAGGAGGGCTCAGGCCAGGCCTTGGAGGCACTTGAACTCTAGGCTGAGAAGCTGTATTTGACCTGGAGGCTAAGGGAGTCACAGGCAGCATTAGAGTCTGGGGGCCCATGTTGGAGGCTGGGCATTGAATGCCAGGGAGGAAGGAGGGCTGGAGGGGTGATCCTGGGAGGCAGGAAGGAGGCAGGTGGGGAACCTAGGTGGGAGACGCCGGCAGATGAGGCAGAGGGGCTGGATCCGGGAGAAATGGAGACCTCTGAGCCCCAGACGCAGGACAAACCTCAGGGGCCCGGCCTCTGTGCGAGCCAGGTGGCTCTGAGAGACAGTGCGACAGTGCCCATGTTTCCAAGGGGAGCAGGAAGCATCCACCTCAGTCAGAGCCATGGAGACGATGAGTCAATGAGAAGCCAGAAGCCTAGAGCCCGAGGGGCCTGTAGGTTCCAGCTGACCATCTGCTCACACACCTCATGATGGGGAGCTCACCACCTACCAGACACCGTTTACCCTCACGCTGCTCTGACCCCAGAGAGTCCCTTCTTGCGGGACCTTGGTGTCAACCTCCCCAACAAGGGGCACCTTCCTGGGGCTGTCATGCCCACCCTTAGTCCAGTTGCTGCACCTGACAGTCGAATCCCCTCCGAGATGAGCCTCTGCCCTCCCCCCATCCCCCCCGTTCTTCAGGAGGGAGGGCGTGCTGCTTCTTGTTGCCTTAAGCGTGGACACACAGACACTTCACACGCACAGGCACTTCAGAAAGGCAAACATTTATTCTCAGAAACAACTCCTACGTGAGGAAGATAGACGGTTCTGACCAGAAAACCACAGGCCCGGCTCCAAGGCCTTTGTTCACCCCTACCTTCAAACGGGCCCTCGGGCTCACAGCCGACATCTCCCCCCCTGGGTGGGCTGCCCCGCAGGGCACCCGGACCTAGTGTGGCCTTCACTTCCTCTCCCACTCCCTTCTGGGGCCCCTGCCAGTGTGAAGCCCCTCGGGTGGGGCAGGGGTCTCCAGGTACACTCCCACTGCCCCCCCCCCCCCAGCTGCTGCCTCAGGCATCTCTCTGTCGTACATCCTGTCTTCCCTCCAGCAACGCGCCCACTCCCGTGCGGGGGCCCCGCCAACCCCCGGGCCGGCCCATTCTGCTCCCCCAGCCCGTCCTGTGCACTTCTGCAATGGCCCGGGTGACCTCGACTCTGCCCGGCTCCTGCCCAGCTCCTGGCTCCGGGGTGACCCTGGGACGCAGGGGACCCCCGGAGGCAGACCCCACCCCACGGCGCCCGCCGGAGGCCTGGCGGCTCCCCGATGCGCGGGGCGGGGGTCGGCGCGGCGGTGACCTTGGCCGGGCGCGGGTCCCCGGGGAGGGGCGGAGCGCGGCGCCCGGCGGGCGGGGACGGGCGGGGACGGGCGCGGGCGCGGGCGCGGCGGCGGCGGCGGCTCCGGCGGGCGGGCGGCGGGCGCGCGGGGGGCGGCGGCGCCCGAGCGGACACGAGCCGGCCAGCAGCAGCCGCGGCGGCGCCGCAGGACGAGCGCCCAGGTAGGCGGGCGGGGGCCGGGGGCCGGGGCTCCGGGCCCTGCCGCACCCCACGCGCGCGCCCCTCCTTTGTCCGGGCCCCACCCTCCCGGCCGCGGGGCCAGGCCCTCTTCCTCCCGGCAGCGCCCCCAACCCGCAGCCCCCTCCCCAGTGCCGCGGGGCCCTGGCCCTCGCGCGCCCACCTTGGACAGCGCCCTCCAGCCCCCGCGGCACTTGCCGGGCGCCCCTTGGCCAGCCGGCCCCTTCCCCAGGTCCAGCGCGGCCCCCTCTCCGGGTGGGTCGGTCCTGCTCAGTCAGAGCCCCTTCCGTGCGGGGCCAGTCGGGCCCTGGGCCCATCTTCCCTCGGAGCGAGGGCTCAGCTTCCTGCCCCTGGGCCAAGCCAAGCCCCTCGCCCGGGAGCCCCTCCCCTGGTCGGGCCCTTCCCCCATCACTGAGATCCTCCGCGGGCCAAGGAGAGCCCCGTGGGCCGGTCCCCTGGGTGCGCCTCCCCTCCCTCAGGCCCCCTGTCATCCAACCCCTAGGTCCCTAGGCCAGACCCCTCCCCCATTTGTTTGGGCAGTGTGTGTGCGTGTGTGTGTGCGTGTGTGTGTGTGTGTGTGTGTGTGTGTGTGTCCTCCTTTGGGTCAGGGCCTGTTCTCCGGGCCCCAGGAGTGTTGGGGAGGGCGGCCTGGCACAGGAGGAGGTCTGTGTAGCCAACCAGGGTCCGGTTCAAATCCCACTCTACTCTGCCACCTCCCTGCTCCGTGACCTTGAGCCAGTTCCTACCCCCTCAGTGCCCGTGGCCCCCCACCCCCACCCCGCAGGAGGAGGAGGAGGGTGGGATTCAAACAGCACCAGGTAGGTGCCTGGCCTGGGTTACTGAATGGGGCTCCTACCCCAGCAGGGCCCCTCCCAGAGGACACCGTGCTGAGGGGCCTGGAATCCTGCCAGAGGGTCTGCACCCAGAGCAGGACAAGGTGGGTCTGGATCCCCCAGCCAGTCGTGGAGGTGCCTGGCTGCACATTCACATGCCCACTTCTCCGGGTGCCCACCCAGGGAAGGGCAGTGCCTGCAGGGCTGGCTGGCACCCCCCCCCCCACGCTGGCTCCCCATGGTGAGAATTGCTATGCATGACACCACCATGCCTATCGGATGTACTAAGAGTTAGTACTGGGAAGCGTGTGGAAGCAGGCCTGGCACGTAAGCGGCTGTGTGTCTGCTGTTACTTTTAGCGTCATGTCTGTCTGGCAAACCTGGTACCTCTGACCCTTCGGAACCCGCCTGAGCCCTCGTGATCGGTAGTTACGACTGCCCATCTGTACCGAGAGACCCCGTGTGCCCCGAGCCCGGCTATGGGCCTTATCCCAGCTCCTACGGGGCTCCCCCCAGCAGCCTGTGGAGCAGGCAGTGTGCCTGTCACACTCACAGAAGACAAAACCAAGGCTCGGGGACCCCAGCGGACCTGCCCAGGCTCTCACCACCTGGTCTTACTTACACCCCTGCACACCTGAGGGAGGTGACTCGGTCCAGGTGCAATCTTGTGTCCCTTCCCCCCCACTGTGGGCCTGTCTCTGTACTCGGAGACCCTCAGAGACAGCTGGGAAGGAAGGGGTGTCCTGCTTCTCCTAAGTAAGGACGCAGGCTGAAGACAAGCCTTCTGCTATCCTACCCCCAACCCAGGGCTCTTCCCCCACCTCCCTCAGTTCAAGAATTGCTGTGCTGTGTGACCTCCTTAGGCCACTGGACCTCTCTGACAACAGGTGCAGAGAGAGATGATAGGGGGACGCCCTTTCAGGAAGTTCTGTTCCTACAGATAACAGCAGACCCAAACCGGAGGCCAAGACAGGCCGTACTATACTCTGGGTACAGAGTGCAGGAAGTGGGGGCCTTTCTCTCTGAGCTCAGTTTAGTTTTCTCACCTCCAGCCTGGGCTGCTATCAGAAGTCAGGGCTGTGATTTGCAAAATTGTGACCTCCAGCATCAGGATCACACTCATGGGAGGGGAGTGGCTTTACAGTGCAAGTTCCCTGGGCCACCAGGTTTGTCACTTCTGGGCCCAAGAGGAAAGGCATGTTAAAGACACGTGGCTCCTATGAGCTTCAGGGACCCCTGGGCTGGGGGAAAGGCAGGAAGCCTGTGGTTGTTGGAGACAGGCACCACTTCACCCATTTCACAGAAGAGGAAACTGAGGCTCAGGGTCACAGAGCCAGGTCTGCTGGCTTCCAAGAACTCATGGCCATACTAGGAAGAGAAGGAGAAGTCAGGACATCCCGGGGGAGGGGAGGCGTGCAGGTGGGGGAAGGAGCTCGTGCACTGCACGCCGGCACCCTTGCACCTCTTCCAGACCAGGGTCCCCTGGGAACGCGCTTGGGCCCCTGGTTCTGCCGGGACTGGAGAGCAAGCAAGGGAGGCTGGCTCCAAGCCTGCATGCAGGGCAGAATTGCCAAGTCAGCCAGATCAACCAGAGGGCCTTCCCAAGGCGCAGGAGAAACGTCATCTCCTCTGAGAAGCTAACCTCGCCCCCAGGGGCCCAGGGCTGTCCCCTCCTGCCCGCGGCCTTTGTGCCTGACACTCCTTTCTGTACAGGGTCGGTCTGGGGTTCTCGCAGCTGCCACGAGCCCTCCCGGCCCTGACCCCCACCCACCGCGTGGAAGATGCCTGAACAGAGCAACGACTACCGAGTGGTGGTGTTCGGGGCGGGTGGCGTGGGCAAGAGCTCGCTGGTGCTGCGCTTCGTCAAGGGCACGTTCCGGGACACCTACATCCCCACCATCGAGGACACCTACCGGCAGGTGATCAGCTGCGACAAGAGCGTGTGCACGCTGCAGATCACCGACACCACGGGCAGCCACCAGTTCCCGGCCATGCAGCGGCTGTCCATCTCGAAGGGCCACGCCTTCATCCTGGTGTACTCCATCACCAGCAAGCAGTCGCTGGAGGAGCTGGGGCCCATCTACAAGCTCATCGTGCAGATCAAGGGCAGCGTGGAGGACATCCCTGTCATGCTGGTGGGCAACAAGTGTGACGAGACGCAGCGGGAGGTGGACACCCGCGAGGCGCAGGCTGTGGCCCAGGAGTGGAAGTGCGCGTTCATGGAGACGTCGGCCAAGATGAACTACAACGTCAAGGAGCTCTTCCAGGAGCTGCTGACGCTGGAGACGCGCCGAAACATGAGCCTGAACATCGACGGCAAGCGCTCCAGCAAACAGAAGAGGACAGACCGCGTCAAGGGCAAATGTGTCCTCATGTGAGCCCAGAATGCCCGCCACCAGCCGGCCCAAGCCTCTCCCAGCACCCCTGCTCCTCCTCCCCCTCCCCGCCCCTCCATCCGCCCTGCCCTCCTCCCCCCTTCTCCCTCTCTCTCCTTCTCATCTCTTCCTCTTCTCTTCCTTCATCCAACATCTCTGCAGGGGAAACTGAGGCCCCGGTGAGCCCGCGGCAGGTCTGGGGCTCCAACCTGGCTCTGCCGCACGGCTCTGCCTTCCCCCCCTTTCTCAGCCCCCCAGCCCTGTCTGCACCCCCAAACCCAAGTGCTGGAGGTGGCCCCCTGGATCCATACATGAGAAAGTGGGGAAGCTGCCTGTCCCCGCTGAGCCCGAGGACGCCGGGTCTTCCCTGTCTCTGCCCATCTCTGTCTCTTTCCCTTGGGTGCCCCCAGCCAGACCCGTGTCTCCCCCATTAGATCACTGTGACCTTGCTGGGGGGGTGGGGGGAGAGTTGAAATGCACATGGACCTCAGAGTTTGGTTTCTCCTTTTTGGTGTTTAACATACACTGCCCTTCCCCCATCCTTCATGACCTCTGGCCTGTGTCCCCACCCCGGGTCCCAGATCAGTCCTCACCCCTGTCCCCACAGCCTCGGTTGGGGGGGGTCTTGCGGGATGGGTCTCAGGCCACCAGGCAATAACCACAGAGCCTGCAGCAGCGCCCCGCCAGCCTGGAGTCCCGCTGCCTGCCCGGCCTGAGGGGGGGTTGGGGTGCAGGCAGGGGCGGCCTGGGACTGGCCCGTGGCCACAGCACAACCCAAGGGGACTGCCCAGCATGAATATGGGGGGCGTCCCCAGACAACGGCCCGCAGACTGGCACAGCGTGTCACCACCGAGCCTCAGGCAGGGGGACACGGGGTGCTGGGGAGGGGGTACTCGAGGACCCATCCGGGGCAGGTGGCTGGACCCAGCACCAGCAGGATCTGAGGGGGCTCAAGGCAGAGTCTGCCCAGCCTGCTGTCTCCCACCAACAGTGCCCCAGAGAGAGGGGCTCTGCCCAGGAAGGCGCGTGTCCCGGAGTCAGGGAGCATCTCCACCAGGAGATTCTGAGTGCTTGAGACTCTGTCTAGAAAGCTCCACACCCATGCGACCCTGTGGGACTGTGTCTGACAAGCATGAGGTGAGCTGTAGGCTGGCGGCGGGGAGGGGGGGGGGCGGTGACCACAGGATGGTGCATTCGTGCAGCTTGGTGTGGACAGGCAATTGGCTTGTGTCTATGCGTACACTTGTGTGTGTGTGGCTGGCATTCAGGGTGTTGCCGTGACAGTCTGTGTATGTAATAATGGTGCAGGCTACATGTAGGGGTGGGCAGTGCGGTTGTTAACAGGAGTGTGTGTTTGTGTTGGTGGGAACCTTTGTACCAGCATAAGTGTGATTGTAAGTGACCGTATTTGGGGGAATGGGGGACATGATTCCTAGGACGGCATCTGTAAACCTGCTCATTCTGTCTGAGGAACACTAAGCCTGTTTTGACTTTGTAGCCAGGTGGCTCTTGGCTCAAACTCTGTATCAGTCAGGTGATGCCGCCTAACACATGACCACCAATTCAGCGACTTGAAACAACACACGTTTATCATCTCCCTCCCGGTGGGTCAGGAGCCTCGTCTCCTATTTGGGACCTCACGAGGCTGCGATCGGAGCACGGGCCGGCTGCAGTCTCATCCGAAGGCTGAGTGGGGAAGAGCGTGCTTCCAAGCTCACGCGGCTGTCGGCAGCACTCAGTCTTCTGCAGCTGAGGGACCAAGGGGCTCCATGGCTCACTGGACGACAGCTGGAGCCACCCTCAGCCCCTCACCACATGGGGCTCAACCTGAGGTTGCCCGCAGCCTTGGGGCGAAGCTGCGTGGATGTGCTTGCATGTCCTCATGCACATCGGGACTGACCTGTGTGTGTGCGCACGTGTGAGAGAGAAAGGCCACGTGGCTGGACAGTCGTGTGACCACGTGGGGATTGTTTGTGGGCAAGAGAGACCATGTCTGTCTCGGTAGTGGTGTGTTTGACTTTCCCTGTTTCATGTGACTCCACAGATGTTTACTGAGCACACTGTGTAGAGAGGGAGGGGGTGTGTGTGCATGTGTGTGTCACCCCCTGGCACGTGGATGGGCCCCCGGGAGAGCTGGTGGCATCCTGCCTGGGCACAGCTGGGCTTCTTCATCCTGTGGCGGGTCCAGGGCCCACCAGCATCTGGTGATGCTCCCCCCCCCAACCCCGGGAGCTTTTCCTGGGCCTTGCCGGGCAGGGGTCTGCAGCCCTTTCTCAGGGACACACCCTGATAGCACAATCTCCCTGGGGCCCTGCCCACCTCCAGGCCTTTCCCCACCCAGGCACTGGTCCCCTGGGGAGAGAGGGGTCCTGCAGCAGGAGGGGCCGGAGCCTGCCCCCACTGCTGGCCCTTCCGCTGCTGGCCCTTCCTGCCCGGGCAGCCCTGGTTCTGGGGGCCGTGCCAGGTCATGCTTGCTGTGGTTCCACCCCTACCCCTCCTCCCCCCGCATGTGGGTGCCCCCTGCCCCCCTGTTGTGGGGTCTCTGTAGCATTTGCTCTAGAAATAGTCTTCCTGCAATAAAGAAGTGGATCCTGCATTCCCCATCAGTGTCCTTTCTATGGTGGGGGGGGCAGCCCACCACCTGCAAAAGATGATCCCCAAGAGGGATGGGCGTGAGTGATGAGGAGGAGCTAAGGGATGACGGAGATGAGGGATGGGATGAGGGGTGGAAGAGATGGGGTGAGGGGCGGAGGAGGAGGGGGATGGGGTGAGGGGCGGAGGAGGTGGGGGGTGGGGTGAGGGGCGGAGGAGGAGGGGGATGGGGTGAGGGGCGGAGGAGGTGGGGGGTGGGGTGAGGCATGAGGACAAAGGAAGGGGCTGTGGGAAGAGGTTGGAGCGTTGTGACAAAGACAGTTCGGCATCCCTCCAGGCGGCCCCCAGGACAAGAGACCTCACAGGCGCTGCTGGAGCCCATCCTCACTGCACCCAGTTGTGGGGAATGAGCAGGTGCAACGAGCCTCCTTTCGTGCGGGGAGGAACCCGCAGGGGCCCAGCTTCCCCGTCTGCTCCATGTTGGCTTGGGGCAGAATTTGCAAACTTACAAGCAGGGGCAACATGAAGGCGAGGAGAGTGAGGCAGTCACGAGGAGCACAGAGGTTGAGCGGGGGACGCCGCCGAGAACTCAGCTTTGAGATACAGATGTTAAAGCAACATTTAATGCAAAGGGAACTGTGGTGAAAACATACTGATGTGTTTGATAAAGACCGGATCTGTCAGGCTCTGGGGGAAGCAAGGCTGCTGGGTGTCCCGAGTGCAGCACTGGATCCTGTCTTTCCTAAAATGTTGGTATTTTGTTCATCCTGTATCGTTTCTGCACTTATTTTGAATTTTTAAAATATTGCAGAAACATAGTATTTACCTTGATAGCAGGGTTTTGTTTTCTTTTTTATGGGGCCCCTTTAGGCTTTGGATTAGAGAAAAGTGCTTGCCTCACCGCAGTCCCGGTGCTGCTCTGTCTTTAGGGCCACATGATGATGCCCTTGAGAGGAACCATACTCAGCCACGTCACCCAAGTTGCTCAGGAATGGCCAGACCTTCCTTCTGGCCTTTCAAGAGTGCCTGGAAATCTAGATTTCTTCTTGTAAAACGTCCTTTTTTTTTTTTAACTTAAAAAAATTTTTTTAATATTATTTTATTTTATTTGTTTTATTTTATTATCGAGACAGAAACAGAGCATGAGTGAGGGAAGGGCAGAGAGAGAGGGAGACAGAATCCAAAACAGGCTCCAGGCTCTGAGCTGTCAGTACAGAGCCCAATGTGGGGCTTGAACCCACGAACCATGAGATCATGACTTGAGCCCAAGTCAGATGCTTAGCCAACTGAGCCACCCAGGCGCCCTGAAACATTCTTATTTTTAAATGTTGGCAACGAACTTGCATTTTTAAAGGATTTTTGGGCCACTCTCACCTGAGGGCCACCAATCTGTGACCCTTATTTAGATAACAATTCCTTTGTGGAGATGTGGGCTGGGGAATGAGACTGGCCCCCAGGCACCTGATTCCCTCTGTGCACTGCAAGGGATGAGCAGGAGGTTCCTGCAGAGTCGACAGGAGCCCTGCAGGGCTCAGCTGGGAAGCCAGAGGCTCAGATCACAGAATATTAGCTTTGCAGAAAGTTCTAGAAGTCCCAGAATCTGAGGGGGTCCATCTTCCCCGGTAAGAAATTCTCCCCTCCCCTCTGTAACTGCTAGATGATTTTGGAGACAAACCACACATTTTTCAACATCACCAGGGGAGCTTATTAAAAATACACATCCCCTCCCCCTAAAAATAAATAAAAATGCACATTCCAGGGATCCAGTTCTTACAGGATTCTGTATCATTCAATGTGGGTGGGGGCCAAGGAAGTCGCTTTTTTAGATCCAGGCCCAGGAGTTAGGAAATTGAGAAACCCTGCAAATTACGAGAAAGGCTTAGGCAAATGACCTTGGGTTTAACCTCTCTGAGACTCAGTTACCGCTTCGTAAAATGGGGACAATGTAATTTTATCTCTTAGCCTTATGCAGAAGGTTCAAAATAAGGGAGCAGTTATTACTGTCCTGCAGGTTAGGAAGGGATATACTTCTCCTGCAAGTGACGTCCAGGAGCTACGATGTTGTATTCAAACTCTCAGCCCCGCTCGGGATTCGAATTCTCAAAGCGCCTCGCACCCCGTTGACGTCATCGAGTCACCTCTGGAAATCCGTTCTTCTCCAGCGGTGGAGTCCACCACAGCGGGCCTATTTGCATATTAGCATAGCCACGCCCCCACCCCGTGCTCCCCGCTCGCGGGTGGCCAGCGGCGGTGCCATTCAGCGCTCCTCTTCCTGGCCCCGCCCGCGTAGCGGGCACCGCCCCCTCGCCAGCGCGCAGCCTACCCCGCTGTCTGCCCTGCGCCCCGCCCCGGCCGGAGCCTCCCGCCGCCGAGGCTCTCGATTGGTTGAACTGGCTGCCAGTGCCCGCCCCCCGGGAGCCGGCCCCGCCCCGCGGTGGGAGCGGGCGCTCGCCGGCTAGGCAGCGGGTTCGGCTGCGCGGCGGGGCTGAGGCGGCCGCGGCGGCCGGAGCGCAGGTAAGGGCGCTCGAAGCAGCGCGCCGGGCCGGGGTCCGCCGCCCTCGCCTCGCGCCCGGGGAACAGGGGTGCGACCGGGGAGGAGGGCTGGCGGGGGCGGCCGGCCCAGGGAGGGCGCTCCGATATGGCTGCGGACCGAGTCAGGGTCCGAGTCAGCTGAGGAAGGGGCTCGGGCCGGGAGTCCGGGCCGAAGTTGGGGGTCGCGGTCAGTGAGGAAGGGACTGGCGCCGGGAGTTCTGGCCGGAGTTGGGGGTAGCGGTCAGTGAGGAGGGGCCTGGGTCTGGGGGTCCGGACAGGAGTCGGGGGTCGCAGTCAGGAAAGGTCGGGGTCTGGGGGTCCTGGCCGGAGTTGAGGGTCGCGGTCAGTGAGGGAGGGGCTGGGGCGGGGTGTCCTGACTGGAGTTGGGGGTCGAGGTCAGTGAGGAAGGGGCTTGGGGTCAGAGTCAGCACAGGAGGGGCTGGGGCTGTTACTGGGGTCTGGGCTCGGATTGGGACGGAGGTCCTCTGAGGAGGGGGTGGGGGTGGGGGTGGGGGCCGGGCTAGCAGGGGAGGGGGTAGGGCTAGAGTAGGTGGAGAATTTTGAGCCGGGGCTGAGAGTGGAGTTGAAAGTGAAGGTTAGCTGGGGAGGGGGAGTTGGGGGTCGAGGGCAGCCAGGAAGGAGACGGGAGTACAGCGGCGGACCCTGGGAGGGGTGGTGGAGGGGCGCCGGGGCGCCGGGAGGGGAGGGCTGAGGCACGCGGTGGGGCAGGCCAGTGAGAGTCGGAGTCCCAGGGCCGTGGGGGCTCTGCTGGAGGCAGGGGCTGGGAACCCCGCGCAGGTGTTTTGAGGGGGCGACTAGTCAGGAGGAAATGGGGGGTTTTGGGCAGTTGCTAGTATTGGGGAGACCACTCGCCCCTACTTTTAGGGGGCTGATCATTTGGTGTAGAAGATGGGGAGGCAGAAACCGCGTGGCGACCGGGAGGGGCAGACGGGGGTCCAGCATACTTTGGGAGGGCCGCTCCTAGGATGTAGGGTATGAGGAGGATGAATGTCCTGGAAGCAGAAAGGCTCGTGTCGAGGACTGACTATTTCAGGAATTTGGGGGCTCAGGAGTTGAGGAACCAAGGTGGGAGTTTTGGGGACGATGATATTGACGGATGTGGGGATGTGGGTGGCACTTTGTTTTTCCTGGGGGGCGGGGGTTGCTAGGGGCTGGAAGGTGGGCGGGAGAAGGCAGGCGGGATCAACCGCGCTTGGAGGCTCCCCTGGTTGCTAGGGGTCCCGGATACAGCTCAGAAACGTGTCCCGTCCGCAGGAATGCAGAGCCGGTCGGCTGGGCCGCCCTGCGTTCCCCCTCCTCCAGTTGCTCCGGGAGCCGGGCTTGCCCATCCGTGGAATGGGTGTAAGAAAGCAGTAGAGACACCTTACAGGGCTGCGGGGAGGAGGGGGCAGAGGAGGGAAGGCCCCACCTAGCTCGCTCCTGGCACATGGCGAGGGTACGTGAGACGTTGATAATAATGTTCTAAATTAAGAGTTTTTTGGGAGGGGGAAGGTGAGTGGGTAGAATTACTGGGTTGTCACAGAGGGTGGGAGAGGGAAGGAATCAGCTGGAGCTCAACTCCAGCCCTTCTGCCCTGGGGTGCACATGACAGTCACCCCTGGAGCTTTAAGACAGAATCTCTGGAGGGGAAACAAGAGTCTGTATCATTAAAAGTGAGGAAAAAACGAAAAAGGAAGAAGGTTCTGACACCGGGAGATTCAGAAGGTTTGTCTAGAAACAGACGCATCCACTTCCGAGAAGGCTGCATGGGTCATTCTGATTTAGGGGTTACCCCCCAGCAGCCATTCCAGTGTGTACCCCAGAGGGCACCATGGGGTCATATAAATACGTGAGGTCTGCATCTGGAGCTCAGGCGACAGACCCCGGTCTCTCCACTTGGCACTGCTGACACAGGACACAGGGGCAGGGCCACTCTCTGGGGGCGTCCAGGGTGCCGTGGGAGCTGAGCAGCGTCCCTGGACCCCATCTGCTCCATGCCAGGAGCGCCCTAAGTTGTGATAACCACAGACGTCCCCAAACACCCCCCACTGTCTCCTGCGTGCAGAATCACCGCAGGTGCAACTTAGTTTCCCTTTTAAAGCCCACACCTCACCTTGGATCCTGAGGAATTGCGGCCTTTCAGATCTGGGGTCGCCTCGGGATCCCCTAATGCTCTCATTCTGAGTGGAAAGCTGCACCCAGAGGATTTTCGAAATGCTGGCTTCTTTCTCAGTGGGTCTTTTGTGTGACTTTCAAACACTTGTCACACTGATTTTACATATGGGACGAATGGATACGTCACAGGCATTGAAAGGTGCCAACGTTTCTGAGTTGTTTCCCTGTTTTTAACCTCGCGCAGGAGGCTCCCAGGGGTCCCCCAGCTGTCTGGGCAATTCTCGGTCTTATTTAGAAAATACCCTGTGACTGAGGCCATTGTTTCTGCTCTGGTTCCGTGCTTCGTACAGCCCGGGGCCCTGTGGTCTGAAGGGAAGGACGGCTGAATGTGAATTACCCCAACATAGACCTGGCTCCGTGTTTACAGAGTGGAGGCGTTATTTTGGTACAGCACGTAGTAGAGTAAAAAGCTGCTGCTTCCGTTCAAGGTGTTGTTACAAATTTTCTCATTTGCATCTGGAAACCAATAATAGTCTGTAAAATGGCATTTACTAGGTCATTCCTATTCCTGACGCTCATTGTAATTTCTTACAGAAAGGGCTGTTTGTGCATGGCCTCCGTGACTTTGGAGCTTTCTGGAGCTTTCTAGAGAGGACGGTGACCAGGATAGTTGCGGGATTGCTGGGTGTTGATGCAGAGGTGCAACCCCCTTACTGTGGGCCCCACAGTGGCAGCCGGTGGGGGACTGCCCAGGCGGGAGCTTTGTCCTGGGAAGGTTTGCCTCCCGTGCCCCACATGCCAGTCCCGTGGCCCCTGTCATCCAGGGAGCCTCCGTCAGGTTCCCGTTGCTCTTGGGCCAGTTCTGGACCCCGCTTCCCATCGCTTGTCTCTTGTTCTACCCTTTGGTGTGGCCTCTTTCTCTTCAGGCTCCAGAGAAAACTCATGGCGTGTGTCGCTCACCTCACCTTGGAGACCAGGTGGAGGAGCTGAAAAGGTGGAGTGACTTGTCCCAGGGTGTCCCTTCCTTCCCCCCTCCCCGGTCCACCCCACCAGCTGGCATGCAGGGGGACGTTGGGCAGCTTTGAGACCCTTTCAGAAACGGGTTTTCCTTGGGAACTTTGCTAAGGGGAAGATCTTACTGCTTTTCATGTTTTAAATTGAGGTACAAGTTCCGTGTCTTAAAACTCAGCCAGTTTAAGTGTAGGGTTCAGCTTTTTGGGAAGTTTCTGGAGCTGTGCAACCATCCTGTAAACCTTTAGAACCTTCCATCACCCCAGTAAGATCCCTGCAGCCATTAACCATCACTCCCTATTCCCCTCCTCCCAGCCCCCAGTCCCCACGAGCCCACTTCCCATCTGTGGATGGGACGTTTCACGCACGTGGACTCACACCCCACGTGGCCTCTCGTGTCTGGTTCCCTCCCTGAGCGTCCTGTGTTCAGGGTCCGTCCACGGGGTGGCGGGTGTGGGCGCCTCGCTCCTGTTCATGGGTGAGTAATATTCCACCCTGTGGCCAGACTATCCGTGTCTGTCCGGTCACCTGACAGTGGACATCTGGGGTGCCGCCACGTTTTGGCACTGAGCCATCAAGCTGCTATTCAAGTGGCTTTTTCCTGGCACTTGGTGGCCTGTTCAGTTGAAGCTTGGGGGTGGCCTGGGTGTCAGCCGTCCAGTTTCTGTCTCTCTCTTTTCTGCTTGAGGGAACTGCTTCGCCGTTTCTGGCTCTGCGCATCCTAGCTGGTGGGCTGGCCCCATGGCCTACTCAGGTGGGTGGGTGGCCCTGTACGGCCAGCATCCACCCCATAAGGCACAGACGTGGCGTCAGGTCCCGGCCACCTCTACAGCTCATCACTCACTTGGCAAAGTGGAAATGCCTCATGCAGTGCTGGTGGCTCCACGGGAGCTGGCCCTGCCTCACCTTTCCAGAGTGACCTTCACTCTGACTGTAGGAACCCGGCCCTCCTGGTCCTCCCTGCCCCCTCCCCTGGCCAGCACCCCCCTTTCCTGGATGGTGCGGTTTGCTGTCTCCTTTGTCTGAAGCCTGCCTGCCTGCCTGCCTTCCTTCCTCTCCCCAACAAAGGCTGCTTGTGTGCCTATTTTAAGCATCAGAGCGAGTGCCAGGCTCCGGGAGTACCACGTGAATGAGACGCTTGTGTGCATGCGTGGGGAGGCGTGGAGACAGGGGACCCAGGGCCCTTCTGTCCCCAGCCTGGCTGTCTGAGTGGGGGTCCCAGGGGGTGGTGGAGACAGACCTATGCATGCCATGAGCTCTACAGGTGCTGTGAGAAAGGAAGCCTTATGGGGGCAGCACCGACCAGTTTCCCAGGGGACAGGTGGGGGTGCACAGCCCACCTTGTGTGAGCCCCGAGTCAGGGCTGAATGCTTCCATGTCATCTCATTCAGGGTCTCCCCCTCGGCACTGCCAACGTTTGGGTCAGGCTGTGCTCTGTGGGGTGCCCTGCCACAGCATCCCTGACCCCACTCCCTCCATGCCAGGAGCACCCCCATCGTGATCACCACAGATATCCCCAGACGCCGCCCATTGTCCCCTGGGGAGTGGAATCACCCCTGGCTGGGAACCATTGGGCTGAGCTACTTCCGATGATTTTATGAACCTGTGATCATACTAAAGTAAAAAGGCACATTTTTTAAAAAAAAATTTAATGTTTTCTTTCTTTTTAAAAAAAAATTTTTTTTAATGTTTTATTTATTTCTAGGAGACACAGAGAGACAGCGTGAGCAGGGGAGGGTCAGAGAGAGAGGGAGTCACAGACTGAAACAGGCTCCAGGCTCTGAGCTGTCAGTTAGCACTGAGCCCGACGTGGGGCTCGAACCCACGAACCGTGAGATCATGACCTAAGCGAAAGT